GCCTTTGGAACTCGCCCTGCAAAATGATAAATTAGTACAATGTTGGTTTTATTTTATGATTGAAGTTCAAAGAGTTAGGCTAAATGTAAAACTTACTTGCTGGTGCCTAGGGATGACATTGAGATTACGCCGTATCCGTGTGACTGAAGCACGGAAGTGTTCTTGACAACCACGAAGTTTGCCTAACGCTTGGGCCCTATCGGTTACATCAAAAACGTCCATGTAAGCTCTTATGAAACCGTTTTTCTGTGCAGCAGAAAAATCCACGACTTGTCTGACAAGTATGTCTCGTTCAGCGGGTAACAGTTGGGCGTCCTTGATTTGCTTCATCAGCGCCTGGAAATGAGCCACGTAGTGCTCTTCCGAGAGACCGTATAGCCAGGTGAGCTGAATCGGAATCCACCGGTGAATGACAGATTGGTACATAGAAGTCGTCATGAGGTAGCCATTAGCGAAAAATTTGTAGGTCACGTCGGATAAAAGTCCCCCGCTGTAGACGCCACCATCTTCCTCTCGTGCTAGGAATTGCTCGGCCATCCACGGGGTTTGAAAGGTCATATGGGTATTCTCAGGCAAGAAAGATGAGGAAATCATCCTCAAGCCAAGTCTTGAGGGGAAAAGAGGGTAAATATGTTAGCAATTAAACATTATAAATGATGCAGAGAAGAATATACAATGGAATATGTGACTTACTTGGCCCAGTGGATCATGTCCAAGATAAAACTGTCGCCTGAGCCGGGAATTTTTTTCTCTGGAATGACACCTGCGTCCACCAATAGCTTGCGACGGTAGTAGCCGGTCCGATGCAAATTTCCAAAAGCCGGATGGATAGCGGAAGCTGTCTTGATTTCTTGCTTTCCTGCTGGAGCCCGACCGACCTGGGATTGAGACAGTCACAAAGTCTAATGAGCAATCAGACATGGAAAAGATAGAGTCTAAAAGAAATGAAATGGATAGTCTAAAAGAAATGGAAAAGAAACAGTGGTGATGAAATTTGTACCTTGTGTTGCAACGGCCCGACAGAAGGGTTGTTGACAACCCTTTCGCCAAACTTGCTGATGGATAACTTATCAGGCTTGCCACGACGTGGCCATGGATGAACGTGGAAACCAGCGTGTCTGATGATACCCCAACCGGTTGGGAGGTGCTCATCCAGCCGACATATCGTGTCTTCACATGGGATGTGACGCAGGTACTCAGAGCATAGAGCCGCCGGGCATTTGATAGGCCTAACGGATGATAAGGAAAGAAAGATAGAATAAAGATATTAAAATGAGAAAGTAGATATGGATAAAATGGGGAAGGGAATATAAAGTCAGATCTTGCAATCAATCGAGGATATTATTGGATGAGTAGATGCTCACGTGTCTTTCATTTCAGCTATTTTTCCGCGGGCAGTAGGTGGTGAGCCAAGGTAATCACATTCCGCATTGGAACAGATAACCACACCAAGACAAGCAAACCGGACGGTTCGCCAGTCAGGTCGTTTTTCCTGAAACCCACCACCGGAAGTTTTGTAAGTGAAAGCAAAGGTGCCCCAGTTGGTGAGCGTCTGGCCCGGATGCCTAACAAAGACCGTCTTGCCGTTGGGGAGCTTTGGGTACCCTTCGTCGTCTAGAGTCGTGTTATGATCTATGAAGGTTTCAAAGGATGCTCGGTCGAGTGGAAGGCCAAAGGTCTTCTTGCCCTTCTTCTTGGCAACTACCTTCGACTTTTCTTGGACTGGGAGCTGAGCGGATCCACTGTGGTCTTCCTCGCAAGGATTGTGATCATCCTCGTCGAGTTCGTCGTCGTTGTTGTCCAGAATCTCAGAACGTGACTCGTCCGGGAAGTGGCTGAAGTCCCGTAGTTGCTCATCTGTGTCGTAGCCGACAGAGTAGGCGACAGATCCAGCGTCAGAGCCATCGTCAGCGTAGTCGTCGTATTCATGGACTGATCCGTTGGATTCGTGATCGGACATATCGCTGTGAGTCATCTTGGAGGGCCTAAAATGTGAAAGCGATAGTGACGAGGAGATAAATCAAAAGAGTGGGAAAGATGATAAGTGACGGAGTAAAGGAAGCTTTGGATAAAGGAAGCTTTGAAAGGTTGATTAAATGGGGAACGAACGAAAGACTAGTATTGAGAATTGATGGAGATGCTTTATAAAGGAGAAAGCTGTTGTTTTTGTTGGTGGTCGGGATGGGTCTTGATGGTGGATTTTGATGGTAAGAATCGAATTCAAAGATTCAAAAAAAAACACGGCTTAGAGGAGGAAAAAAAATTCGTCGGGGTATGAACGACGGTCGAAGACTAGAGCTTTATTTGTCTTTTTCCGAATCCATTGCCTTTTTGCCGATGGTTCGCTATCATTTTTTTGACATCGTCCAAAGCGATTCTCCTTTGGGAAGAGGCTTGGATCACTAAATGGATGTTGTGATGAGTTGAAATGCCTTGTCCACGTCCAATAGGATTCCCTTTTGGGAAGAGGCTTGGTTCGATATGTGGTTGCCTAGTATGCCAACATCCATCCTCGCGAGGATGGGTAAGGGTACCCATGATGAGCCCGGGACCACGTCCATATTCGTCATGGTTGTG